GAGTAGCACTCCATGCAGGAGGGCCACTTGCTCAGTAGTGTGTGGGAAGGCTGCAGCAAAATATGTCTGTTTAAACCCTCTTCTCTGTCACTGGAGAAGATTATGCATCCAAACTGGACCCTCCCTCAGATGCTCAGGGAAAATGTCAGAGTGAATTAAAAGCTGTAAAAGGCCGGGGCTATAACTCAGTGCCTTTTAAGTGCCAAGATTTTGTCAGGGATGGAGAGAGGGAAGTAGCCACTAATGTAATTTCCATCAGGAGTACACTCCTCTAATATAATTTGGTCTGGCCTTCCTTTCAAGTGCAGCCTTCCCTGGCTGGCCTGGTTCAGGGCCATCCTCCTCAATGCCCCAGTAATTATTGATGCAATGAAAGCATGTGCCCAGGCTTTGCTCTGGCCTTTTTGGCCCTGGAGTGACACCAGCCTTCTGCATAGAGCACATTGCTGGGCATGTAACTGGACATATTAATATTGTGGGGGTTTTTTACTATGTTCATTAAAGACACAAATGGCCCATTTGCTTAGGCTTTGTTCCTTTTCTCTCTTTGGTTAAGGCCTGACAGCGCTCTAATGGTCTACATGTTGTATGGTCTCTTGCCAGATTAAGAAGCATCATTACTCTGATCCAAATTCTTGATCTAAATTTTGCATTCACCTGTTGTCTGTCCTTTTGCCAGTACCTTATGCTGCAGAGTTTGATAGCCCATTATTCTGTGCTTTCCTTGCAAGGGAATGGTTTCCTGGGAAGGGACCCTTGCTTTGCCATTTCCATCTCCTTAGGCAAAAGCTATCAGAGAAAGAACTTGAAAGCCTTTTAGAAAGTGCTCTCATTGCCTCACCTTTTGTGAATTAAAATGTCATTTTTCCAACAGGTCTTTAAACATCTCCTTGCAGCATTGTGTGTGATAGAATTAAATATCAGCAAAGAACCACAGCACAGCACTGATTTCCTTCTCTTGGGTTTATTTTGGTCATGTTTTTAAAAGACGTCTCCTGATTGTATGTGGCAGCCGAGTGTATTGTGTTGCCCCCTAATGCAGCTAACTGGGGACTTGCTACTGTTATTCCTCATAAACAGCTGGTGCTCAAGGACAGTTCTTGGGGACTCACAGTTTCAGGATAACCACCAATCCCCTCTCTCCTTGTACAAATGGGTGGGGCTGGAGTGGGAAACGCATCCTACAATTTTTAGAAGGTAAGGACCATGAGCAAGGGGCTTTGCTGTGGCATATGGCAGGGCTGTCACAAGCAGAAGATGTTAGAAAAGGCATGGTGTGAGAGACTGAAGGAGAAGCTGATGAAACCCAGCAGAGCAGCAAGGGCATTGCAGAGTTTTCAGGAGGCTACAAAGGATATGAACTTTGGTGTCTTTAGAGGAAATGAGAAGAAAGAAAGAAGAAGATGAGGTGCATGGCCAGATTTATGGGCAAGGACAGATTTGACAGCTATGATTTTGAACAATTTGAAGGGAAGCAAGGAATGACAAATGACGTAGGCATTTGGGTGCCAGAGAGGTGAGTGTCACAGAAGCTGAGTTTTTAGAAAGGACAGGCAGAAAATAGACTCAACTTATTCTCTGTCTGTCAATACACTTCCTTTTCCCCTGGGGACAGGAAGGACTGCCCTTCTCTGGAACTCCCTGTTATACACAAAAGCCTTGGGACAACAGACACCCAGGCTGCAAGGCAGGATCCTCTTCTGGAAGCAGGCAGGACCCTCTTCCCAAAGCCTGGGTGCCTGTTTCCAGGAGTGCCCAAATCCCAGGTGCCAACATCACCATTCCCATTGTCCATCAGCACCCAAGGCTGCTGCTTTCTGTTTCACAGCCATCAGCTCAGCCTCCGATAGAGAGTTACAAAGCAGCCAGTAAATACATTATCAGGCAGCAGGAGGAGGTAATCCCCCAAACTACAGCCCAAGCCTTATTAAAACCAAGAACATTACAGATTCCAATGGGAAATCAGTGGAAGTGGAGCTGTTCTGCCCGTGGCGTGCTGCAGGGGTCACTTTGGGGATGAGGCAGTGGCAAGCCCAGGAGCAGGGGTGCACCGTCACACTCCCAGGCTGTGTGCATGTCACTGTGCCCACACAGAACTGGATCCCACGGCAGGCAGGGAGAGGCAGCAGGCATAGGAAAAGAGGTGTTTTTTCCCTCCCCAGCATCTTAAACTAGGTAATTATATTTAAAAACTGTGCTGTTAAATCCAAAATAAGTGTAAGTAAGGACACAGGGGAACTAAGGTAGCATGATTTATTGACATGAGCTGCTAATATACACAGTAGGCAATTACATATATTTAATCATATATTAAGTGCAAGCCAGATTTTTTGGTATACATTAATACAGTGCATGACATAATTCTTTGTACTTGCCTAGAGTTGCATACTAACCATTAGAAAACTCTCCCACAAGTGTATGCAGATACAAAAGTCCAATGAACTGAAATATTCCAATTGACTTTTGAACCGGTCTTGGCACAATGTTTTAAGTTCCCAAACTCAGAGAAGGAGGGGAAACAATTTGCAGCAGACCAGGCATCACCCAGTTGAAGAACACCCAATTAATGATAAATCAGGTATGTCAGAAATGAGGGCAAAATATTTCTTTTGCAGTATTTTAAATACTTTACACCTTCCCAGGTGTCTTTCTCATGCTTTATCTTCTGAGGGGAGCAATGGTAGTATGAAACTTTTTTTTGTTTTCTTATATTTTACCTTGCTTTGTCCATTTAAAATCCATGCTGTGCAAGTGTTCCCAGACTGACCAGGCTGATAGGCCCCTTTCTGAACATGAGCAGTACAGTTTTACCTGGGTGACCACATCTTCTGTTTACACTTTCTATGATCCATGCACATCACCTTGTTATTTAGATGTCCTTTGGAGGTAGGAGCTTTTAATGAAAAATGATCCAACTAAAAACTGAAGGTGAAAGGCCACTGGAATTACCAATTTCTCAGAGACTCCAGCCTTTTGGGGGGTTGAGATGAACTCCTTGGAGAAGGTGAGTAGTTCAGATGGAGTGTCTCCATCCCAGGATGGTAACACCAGCAGATTCTGCCAGGGGTTCACCCAGAGGGATGGCCAGCAGGATGTGCTGCTGGGAGTGTGTTTGTCCTCGAGAGCCTCCCAACAACCAGAGCCTGCTCCTCGTGGTGTGATGCTGCTGCAACCTGCTGCTTGCACTAGCACAGGAAATTAAAAAGGCAGCTGTGCTAGTGCCCAGATTTCCAGAGTTTGTGGCAATTTTCTTGTCCCAGCGGTTCCTGGACCTTTTATTAAGACCTCAGTTAAGAAAAAAAAATAAAAGTAAACTGTTGAACTGGGCTACAAATGCTGGTGACTTGGCTTCATAGCAACATAAATAGCCCAGGTAAGTGATAATCATGAAGAGTACACAAATTTTCTTTTTTTTTTTGTTGCTAATTGGTGATTTCCAATATCACTTTATACATGCATAGTTAAAGTCTTCTAGGCAGGTGGTAAAAGTTGCATGTGTTTCTTGATTGCTTTAATGCATTATCATTATAACACAACATCCACCTTTATTTAACCTCTACAGAAGTGCCAGTGTCAGCGCAGCTGTTGCAGTGCTGTCACTGGCACAGATAACTCACACATTTCACACAGTCCTGTACAACATTTACCACAAAGCAGGAAAGAGTGGCTTGTATGAAAGTAATGCCTAGTTTTAAGGCTTTTAGTCCTGAATTCTACACATGCTTGGTTTCATTTTCTGTTATTGACTCTTTTTCATGTAACATTTCATATGCTTTCCATGTGAAATTTGCTCTTTACTACTTGCTAATAAATAAGTATATCATTACCCTGACCCCAATCAGAGCTTATATAGTTGAGAGACCTTCCCAAAACCCAAAACTCCACATGTACATTGCACAGCATGACCGAGCATCCCTGAACGTGCTACTCCGCGGTCTGATTTTGGCAACACAAACGTGAGCACACGCACTGGGGCATGCGGTGGCAGAAACAGCCTGTGGCAGAGGGGGAGGGAGCACAGGGGAAAACTGGGAATTGAGTGACGATGGCTGGGTGGACAAGGGGTTGCAAATGCAAAGACCTTCCAGTGTGGACACCAGAGAGAAGACAATGTGTACATACATGACCGTGGTTTCAGGCAGGGAACCGATGCTCTCCCAGCCCCTTGGGGTCAGGCAGAGCCCAGCCAGCTCAGCACAGAGGAGAAAAATACAGAAATACGTTCTTTATCTTCCCTCCTTGTCTGATTTTCTCCTGGGAGAGGACTTCTTGGCTATTTCACAGTTTATTTGTCCAGTTTGTCCTTTGTGGTGTGTTTTGCCGGCCTCCTGTGACTGCTTGTAGTGCACAGACACACACAGACAGCACCTTTGCCTGAAGGTGATGTTAACCAGCTTATTTGACTGATTTGCTGATTCTGAAAGAACTTTAACTCCTTTGACCAATGAAGGAGCATTGGTAACCTTAGAGTTGCTGAAGTCATCTCTAGTGGATACAACACTTGCTAAGTTCACGTTGTAATAAAAGAGAAAGTCCTTCTAAACACTGCATCCAGGATATGCTTTGTGTTTATGCAGAGAAGGGTTAAAGAGAGACCCCTGAAGAGATTATATTTGGGTTTAACAGTGCTAAGTCGAGGTAATTGTTACATGACATTCCTGGTTAATGAAACTCAGCTTCCAGTAGTTTAATGTTGCTTTTGTGATGGAGAGCAAGTTGCCATCCACAGCCGCATGGAAGTCTCACTGGCACACACAGCTTGACATTTATTTCTCTATTAAGACAGGATGCAGTGGTCCTATTTTTCCCTATCTGACAAATCTACATTAAAAAAAAAAAAATCTCAGAATGGCCATCAGCAGCATGATGTGTCTTTGTTTGTTGTCCCAGAGGTGGGTGGGTTTGTTTTTTTTTTTTTTTTGTCCCAGTCCTTCTTGGATAGGTGATAATGTAGCACCTAGCACCCCCTAGGCGTGGGATGCTCCCCACCTCTGCTCCCCTCATGTGAAGTATCGACACTGTGTGGAGTCAATGTAGCAGTAAGAAGTGCAGCGCAATTTCCCGTAAGACCTGGAATAAAAGAGAATATCTCAGTTTCAAAGCATGGTATGGTTCACTTACATGGCTCCTGGATGTAACTCTCTGTAGGAGTGAAGAACCTTGGAATATGCATATGCAGCAGCATATGGAAAACAAAACAGGAGGGCAATTTTCATCAGTGCTCGACTGTGTTCTCCTCTGTCAGCAAAACAGACGTCCAGGAGAAACTATGAGTGAAGACTTAACTCCCAGTAATGTCAATTAAAAAAAATAAAATCCCTGTTGGCATCAGGACTAGAGCATTTCATGGGGGTGGATGAAAAAGGCCCTGGCGCTCACCCACGGGAGCTGTGGAACAAAATATCTGAGGCTCTGAGTTAAGTGTTTTTCCAGTTACTCCCAATAGCTTCAGCAGGCATGACTGTGCCTGTCCTTTAACTTCTTTTTCATGTACTTGAAATAATGAGAGTGGCACATTCCCACATTAGAAATAATTTTTAAAAGAGTGAATTGAAAAGTCCTTGCAAAATAAGGAAAACCAGAGATTTTGTCTTTCTACTGACTTAAACTGAGCAGTGACTCTACCTACTGAAGACCTGACCAGAATTGTTAATAAGAATTTAAATGAGTTTTTATTGCTGGAATGTCTAATTGAATAACCCATGTACAACATAAAGCTGTGGACTAAGCAGTTTTAAAACTACGTCCTAGGATAACCCACATTCTCAGACTAACATAAAATCTGAAGAGAAGGTGTGTGAAACAGGAGGAGGGATCTGTGGGCTGGAAAGAGTAAAAAAGGGGAAAATCAGTTGCAGCAGAGCTCTTGGAGGAAAGGTTACTTCAGGGTAAAACTCCCATGGGAGTGTCATACTCACGTACTCAGCCCACTTTCTCATGATTCACAGCTTTTTCTTTAGTTTGGCAGATAATTTGCAGACTACACACAAAAATAAAATATCTCAGTTGCTCTTCAACAGCTTGAATATACAAGCAAAGTGAAATTTATAAAGTTTTCCTCAAGCTTTTGTGTTGCTATGTTGGGCACCACATTTCAGACTCTTAGAAGGGAATAGTTTTCACAGTAGAACAACTCCACACTGTCTCAAGATGAAGTCTCGAAAATGTTTCAGTTTTGTCAGGTTGACTGGTCTGGATTTTAGTAATCTCTTATGCCAAAAGTGCTCCAACAATTACAGTGGAAGGATTAGCACAGCACTAGATTTACAAAGACATCCTGTGGTTTCTTATTCCTGTCAATTAGCACATTACTGTGCCCTGAATGATGAGGGCTCTGCACATAATTTAATTTGCAAATTAAATGTTTCCTGTTAGCCACTAACAATACCTGACAGCTAAATAAAGGTGCTGCTGTTGGAGGCAAAACGCTGACCAGAGGATGCTGCCTAAACAAAGGCAGAGAAGGCAAGTCAACAGTAAGCAGATGCTTTAAATGAAGGACTTTGCTACACAGATGCATGGCTTTGCATCTGCTGGTGAATGGATTTCCTGCACTTTGGAAAAGCTGACAGATGACTGCTTGATTCAGAAGCAAACACACCCCCAGAGTACCCATTAATGGGAAGGGCAGCAAGAGGTCGGTTTGGATGTTGTGGGCTTTTTTTCCTTCAGTGTGATCATCTTGTCATACTTTTCTTATGTCATGTCTGGGCATTATATTAATAAATATAAGGAAATCTTAGCAAGAAATAGGCAAACATAATTCTATGTGACCTTCATTTGTTTTGCACAGTAAGAGGCATGTACTTCTTACTGTGAAATGAGACTTAGCCCTTGAAGTCAATGATATACAGAAATAATTTGATAGACTCTTTCTTCCCTGCTACTTGCAGTGGTCCCACTGGAACAAGATTTAAGTGGGTGAAACTCCTCTGTTTTAAAGATGGAAAAGAGAAAAAAGAAAGGAAAAACACACACAAAACCCCCTTCCATAAACAAAACCAAAAAACCCCACCAAACCAAAGTGAAGACCTCCTCTTACATACCCAGGAAGGTATGTTCTACATGTCAAGTATCCAAAATCCATCCCATCACAGTCTTCCACCCCCTCGTGCTTGTAGCCATCTCCGCAGTAAGCACGGCGACACCCTAGTGAAAAATAAAGAAATAAATACCTTCCAGGCACTTCAGATGTAAAAGAAACAGGTGAAGTAACTGGAACTAGCTTTTTAAGGGTTAAGGATAAAGCAAGATATTTTGGGGAAGGCATTCTGTAAGGACTGTCTTAGGAGGAGCAGTACTGTTCACTACAAAGAATGTACTTTTTTAGCCTAATTTCAGTGATGAATGGAAAGAATGGATAAATACTAAAAATAATTACTACAGAATCACTAATTACAACAGCACTTATTCAAAACTTATTATTGCTATAGATAATTGCCATCAAAACAAGTTAAGGGAAACATGAAATACAGTTAACATAAATGATTTGGGGAAGCCGCAATCTCAAAAAAGTAATCCTAGGTTGTTGACTGGTTTGAAATTCCCAACCTAGACCTTTATCCAATTCTGTGCAATATCTCTGTTTGTCTGCTGTGACAGACATGTGTGTTCATTTTTCACATATGAACTGAATTATTCAGCCTGTCTATAAAGAAATAAAATATATAAAGTTTGCCAAAACCATGTTTTTCCCACTGCTGACTCCTACTGACTTGAGCGTGAGTGGGATTTGTCACATTTTTTCATGGTGACTGACATGTAGGCTGCAGTAATTTGTGGGTTTGTTTGCCATTTTAGCAATTGGACTTTGATTTTGATATCTTCAGCATATTGAGAATGACTTTCTAACATGAACAAATTAATTTAGTTAAAATCTCTTTGAAATCTTCTGGGAAAATCCATTGGTGTTAAGCAAAGGATTAAACAGACACTCGGGGAGTTTTTAAGAGGCTAACATGGGTTGTTTACAAATAGAAATGATGAATTAATTGCACCAAGGACGTGTTTATCAGAAATTGATACTTCTAAGACCAACAAGCCTGTTTTACAATAAAATCCATTTAACATTTGGCTAGCCTTTTCCTTTTGGTTCAGTTACAGGAGAAGAATGACGACAACGTGCTCATTTCCAAATAACTCAATGATGGGTCACATCAGTGTCAGAAATCTGTGTACGGCAAGGCCTCCACTGAGGCTTTGCCCGATGCATAGCACAGAGAGCATGATGTGCCCTCAGACACAGAGTGCACAATTTCGCAGGCACTAGAACTAATGAACACTATCTTGCCACATGGTTGTTCCCCACGGCTGATTGCAAATTCTAATTTAATCGTTTTCTCATGTCTGGAAACAGGAGAGATGTTGTCTGCTGTCTCTCTGGAGTACTCTGCAGTCAGGCAAGCTTAGCAGGGCTTTTATTTATATATCTCCCTAGACCTGTTGAGATGGAATTGCCTTTGAAATCTCTTTCCTGTTGTCATTGAGAAGTTGGCTGGGATTCCTAAGTCATAAGGGGAAGGGTGATGGACAGGTGGATGGAGAAACTTGCATAGGGCATGGCTGCACACACCCCATTTTCAAAGTCAGGGAGTGATATATAAAAGAAAAATTGCGTCTTTCCGTGCTGGGTGATATTGCTCTGAATTGTGAAGAAGCATCCCTTTGCTGGGAACAACAGAGCACCAAAGCTACTATGTGGAAATGGTGTAGGGCTATGCTCTGGGGAAGGATTCAAGATGTAAAAGTAACTGAGAGGGAGAAGTGAAGGTTACCACAGCTGCTCAAATGCTTATATGCTCTTTGCCATCCACAATCAGCAAAATGAAAGGAAGATAGAGTAGACATTAATTAAATGTTGTGTAAACCTGATAGTGAAGGGAGTGGGCTGACACCTTCGCTATGCAAGTGAATAACAAAATCCAAAGTGTTGTTCTTATTTTATCATAAGAAACAGTGTCTATCCCAAGGGCTTCAGTGTCTATCCCAAGGGCTGTGCTGCACTGCAAAGGTGTGCTACAGCTTTTAGAGAGAGCTGGCAGCCCCCAGGAAAGGCGTGAGTGTGTAAACCAGCTGCTGGATATGAAATGCAGAGTCTCTGACTCAGCAAGGATGCAGAGAAGTGCTGTTGTCATCTCTGTCCTGTGTGGTGTGCACCATCCACATGCATGGAAGCCTCAGTTTTCACCCGGTGGCCATTGTGCCTCCCTTTCCCCAGGCCTGCACTGGATCCACAAACCACACAAGCTCTCCTACACACAAGCACTGTACCCTATGGTACAACTGATGCACCTTCCCTGGCAGGAAGAAGCCCCTCCTGCTGTGCTGTGACTTACTTATGCAGTCATCAGTCACAACTGCGTTGCCGTCGTCGCACTCCTCCCCATCCTGCACGATGCCATCTCCACAGGTACCCCGCTCCTCGAAGCGGTAATCCACAGGGTACAAAGGGGTGAGCTGGCCAGGCAAACACACAGTGGTTACTGAACCAGACCAGCAGCAGCCTGGACAGCAAGCAGAGGAGAAGGGCTCTGGGGGGCCCTTAAAGCAATAAGTAGATATGTGAGTTTGGTTTGCAGGGTTTTCGTTCTGCAACTCTATACCCTGGTGAGTTTTGCCTTATTTTGTACTAAATAAAAACTCTTTTTACCACCATAATTCCCTGAACTCTGCTTTAGCTTGTTCACCAGTGGTTCACAGGGAGGTGAGCAAAACCTGCAACACTGCTGAGTTGATTCCTCAGTAATTAAGACTCCTGTGAACAAAATTCACAGAATTATGTACAGTTGTGGTAGTGTTCCAAAATGAGTCTTCCCCCCATTTGCTTAACTGATTCTGTATGAAACCTTAAGTATGGAAGTATGTTCTGTATTTCAAAATGGAACATGCACTCACGGGTTTTCTGAGACCACAGTCATATTTTCACCTGGACTGGGAGCCATCCAAAGGTATCCTTGAAATACAAAGATCTCTGATCTCTTCTAAAAGCTAAAGCGTTTTCGGTGTTTAACCGGTCCAATTCTTCTTGATTATTCACCACAAAAATCTGGGGCACACAAAAAGAGGTGAATGGTGACCTTCTCAAGAAGTTCTTTGGATTATCACAGAATCTACTTTGGCATATGTATCTTCAAATAGGTAAATAATATACAGGAAAATGGTTCAGTTGTTTTTAGAGAGGAGGTGAGAACTTACACCCATGGAAAGAATGGAGTTTCCTGGGCCCTTATTTTGAAATGCACATCCTCAAGTAAAAATCATGCAACTAGTGGTGCACAATGACTGCTGAGAAGAACTTTCTGATGCTCAAATGGTTTGATGCTGAAACAATTGCAAAATCCAAATGGGCATAAGTGCTTTTTGTGGATTGACTATAACTTTTTAGACATGTTTGTGGCTACAGAATAAATAATGCATGGTTCAATACAACCTTTACTTAACTTTTACCTCTTTGTGCTTTCTTTAGATTTAATTGGCACTAAAATGCATATTTCTTTAAATGCACATACTGTGGTCTAAAGCCAAGTCTTCAATTACACTGAAAAAAAAATAGTTCAAAATGGAAAAATTAGGACAAGCTGCTCTCTTACCCATTTCTTTAATGTCTCAGTCACTGAAATTGGATGTAAAAGGCATTAGGAAATAATCTCTTCCTTGAGCAGCTTAATCAAGTTAATTTTTGTAAGATTCAAGCCGTTTTTAAATTAAGAAAAAGCAAATGGAGTGCTTCTGGGCAAAATAGATTTAGGTCTGAGTCTGATTCTCACCAGCATAAACAGAATTGGCTCTTTTAAAAACAAGTTACCTTGACATTTTTACATAGCAGAACATTCCCATAACCCTGGACAAAGGCCATTTCATTAAGGAAGCATTGAATAAAAATGCCTTCAGCTTGAATGAAAGGAAGCAAAGAAATAGGAAGGCAGCACAGAACTGATTCTGTAATTGTGTTCAGGAGCTCAGGACCCAGCCCCAGAGCTCAAACTTCTCTTGAAATCAATAGCAAAACTATGCTGTCTCAAACCATTACAGATATCAGCCTTTAAAATTGCACAAGATTTCAAAAAATGGAATGAATCTAAGGCAGTGACAGAAAAACAGCACTTTGTTTCCCAGCCTCTGCCCTCCTCTGGAGGAGCTGCTGGGTGCATGAGTGATGGCACTGAGGATGTGCTGCTTTGGCAAACCACAGGGCCAGGGCACAGGGCACCATCTCTGGATCTTTTCCATGTGGCAGCTATAGAACCCTGAAAAGAGCTTTCAAGTGGCCCAAGATAGGTGGGGATCTGAACAGAATAAACAATAGTGATGTTTAAGATCTAGTTTAAGTTAAAGTGTTCTTTACACTCGAGGGAGTAAAACAAATGGGGAGGCAGGAAAACAGGGATTGCTGCTCTGGAAGTGCCTCATTTCCAGAGCTAAGACTTGCCTTTTTGCCATCCCACATTCCTGGCAACAAAATGGCACCTGGGGGCTCATAGTGATAGCTTTTTTAAATATTTACACTTTCATTACTATCTTTTAAGATCTATTACTACCATTACTGTCTTTTAAGATGGGAAACTGTGCCTGATGGAGAAGGAGGGTAATGAGACCTCTACATTATATTGAGAGCACTTTAAAGCTTTTCCTATGAGTTTTCCATGTTGCAAAGTACATGATGGGGTTTTTTTGCACACAGTGTGGTGTGATATACACCTTCATTTCAGCACGTTCATCTCTCACCATTATGTTTTCAGAACAACAGGAGGTTTTTTCTAATGCACCGCAGCCAGGGATGAGTGAGCAGCTGGCACAGCTGACAAGACTTGAAACACACTCGTGCAAAAGGCTGAGCTCAATGACCCAGTGACACCCAGTTTAACAGTGTTGTGAGTGTGTCCCTTCCACACACCAAGACAGCTTTCTGACAGTGTGACAGGTGGGGCTTTAACAAAGCTAATTGCTGCTCATTGGCATTCAGAGACAGCCAGACTCCACACCATTTCCACTTGCATGGGTGGAGTGGCTGAGCCGTGCTGGCACACAGCACCAAGGGAGCATCTTCATCACTGACTAAGTGCTGCACTGCACAGAATAATGAGGCAGGGCCCAGCAGAAGGAGAAGTACATAAACAGTAGTTACAAAGCCCAAATAAATCAGTGATAAAAAATTACTAGGTCACATTTCACCGATGCCTTGTCCTTTAAAGTATTTTGTCCAATTTGCTCATAAAAATGCTTTCAAGGCTAGAGATGTAAATCAGCTATATAATGTGTATGCCTGCAGACTGGAGCCCAGACACCTGATTCTCACAGTTTGTGGAAACTCCTGTTATTGAGGGCCTGTGCTTTGGGAGAAAGACCCATTGCATATGCGAAATGCTTGATCCCTATATTCAATTCTGAAATCACCGTCTTAAAAAAGCCCCAAACAAACAGAGTGAGAAAGGTATTCTCACTTTACTGACCAATCTGAAATGTATTTTGATTTCATGAAATATAAAGGACAGATCATATATGTACAGTAGTAGATGAAAGAGAGCACCCCTAGGCTAGAAAAATATTTCCAAAAATATGCTACCTTACTGTTGTTTTGGAACAGCTGCATCTCAGCACATCAGTCACACAAGTTACAACTGAACTCTTTTGTACCTCTGGATCTCAGAGGTTTTAGGTACTAGAAATCACACATTGCCTATATATCTTCCTATTAAACAAAAAGTATTAGTGAGTACAACACCTCTCATAATAAAAGCATTTCAGGACCACTCACATCCCCTCCCAGAAAACCTGCTTACCGCGGGAACTTTTGGGTAGCTGTGTCCAAACACAGATTGCTCATATGATGGGTTACTCATATGCTGTGGGGTTCTGCAGAGACATCTCCCTGGAGGCCCTGGAAGTCCTCTTTCTCCCTTTGGTCCTATTGCAAATTGCCCTAGGAAGCAGAATTCCAGGTTGCCTTGTTATGAGGTTACTACACACCACACACACACAGCCTTAGTGGAAAAAGTACAGGTCAGGTGGGTATATGCATTTGCCCAGGTTTTCAGATAGGCACAGCTCCCACCAATTCCACTGGGAACCGAAGGGAGGCACTAATTCCAGTACTTCAGGAGAAAGATTCCAGTTTTTTACCACAGTCATATTATTTCAGATCACCCTCTGAATTTTCCTTCCAGTTTTACAGAGGAAGAGAGACCATTTGCTTAGAATAAATGTCAGCCCATTTGAAGCTACAGAAATTCAGGAGAGGATGAACACACAGATCACTCTACAGCACCTACGCACCAAGCCTTGTAGAGTCAGTCTCTGTAGAAGTGCACAACAGATTGGACTTGTGCCTTTTTACAACAACTTGAGCAATGCTGTTTCTATACAGGTTTCTATACAGCAAAAACCCAACTAAAAATACAGGAGATTTTTAATGTTTTAATGAAACATTAATAAAAAAAATACTGCTCTTTAACTTTCAAAGTTTGGCAAGGATGCACTGCTCTGCAGATTTAGATTAAGAGCCAATATCGTCATACTGCAAGCCGTTGCATCATTACAGAAATGTCTTTTAGGATCAGAATTTATATTCTGGAGGAAAAAGATTAATAACCCTGACACATAAACTTTCTGTGGATGGAATAAAGCCTTGAAAAAGTAATCTCAAGGTCCTGGCTGCCTTCCCATCAGCACGGTAAAAATTCTGCCTTCTGAAAGCTTCCAGCAATTTACTCAAGCAAAGATGTTTCTTAATGGGAGACATGAGATATATGAAGATTCTGAAGCTGCGCCCAGTTTTACGGATGTTCCATTTCCACAGCACCACAAGAAGAGACCTCCTGTCTCCTAATGCAAGCAAGGGAAAGAAAAGGGGAAGCAAAATGGAAGGCGACATTGCGTATTGTGGGTCATGTATTGTCCTATGCATCCATGTTTGGACCCAGAAGCTGACCAGGGTTCATGTGCATGCTCTGAGGATGTACAATTACTTTATTACAAGGTTTTTGTCATAATTTCTACAATACACACAATTGCAATGAAAATAGATTTTAAGCACTTAATTATATAGAGATTTTCTCCACTGCTGTTTTCTTCCCCCAGCTCCTATCCCTTTCCATTCCCTTCCCTTCTTTCCTTAATGACACTGTAACTTGAGTCTCATCTGTTTTTCCTTTGCAGAGCCGCACAGGGTGAACATTCCTGGCTGATTAGAAATCACAGTTTTTCACTGTGAGCCAGGATATCTGCAGAGGCAGACCTTTGATGATGGAGATTACCTTGTCTCTCCAAGGCTGCCAGATGGCTTTTCATCGTCCCCATCTAAAAAAATCCCTCAGGGACCGCATAGGATTTAGCTTTGGTTTTATCTGAAACATCAGAAGCCATAAAGTAGGTTTTAAAATAATGGACAAGGATGGCATGACCTGCCTCCAGGAGAAATTCTCTCCTTGCCATTGATGGAAGAGCAAACAAAGCCTTGCAGCACTTTGTGCAGAGCGGCCTATGTGTCCCTGATGAGACAGGAGGGGCTGGGGAGCGGGGACACTCCTGGGGGGTCACCTCATTTTGGGCTTACCTAGTCCTGACGGTCCAGGGGGGCCCGGCTGGCCAACAGGGCCAGGCCTACCGGGTGGGCCCATGACACCTGCCGGTCCAATGTCTCCCTTCAGTCCCTGCAAGAAAGTGACATCCATTTCTTGGCTAAACTGTCAGCAACAAGCAACCTATCCCAGCCAGCACTGGCTTCCCATTTAAGAAAGCCAAGATCTTTGCCAGAAGAAATGTGAGCTTCATGGACACCACCCCGGGGAACAGGGCCTCTCCTCTCCTAGGTGGAGACAGAAAGGTGTGCCCAGGCAGGACTTCTGCTCCCAAATGAGAAGGGTCACAGGGACCTGCCCTGTGTGGGGTCAGGAACAATCCTGCTCTGACTTCAATCATTTGATAGCCTTTCTTTAAGGATGCCTTTTTAACCCCAGTAACTCTCTAGAAGTGAGTGCCACTGAGAAAGAAAGGGCAAAATCACTGAGGAGTTGTCCAGGGCTTCCAGAGCGGCATTTCCCAGTCTTAGGGTGCAACCTTTCAGGAGCTCACTAATGACATTGATGCTCACACTATTTTCAGAATGTTTGAGGTGCCTGGATTCCTGTATCTCCTCGGCTTCCACCATGTGTATAGCTAGGATAGGAAATCATCACAAGCCAAGCAAGGGCTTGGCCTTACAAGTGCAGCTTAGTGTTTAGCAACACCATGCTGAAAAATTATGTTTCTCTGGCAGCAGAAGCAAATGCTGCAAAATTACCTGTGGGAGAGAGGCTTGCACACAGTTAACACGCAATAGCTAATATTCTCTAAAATCAGCCCTAATTTGCCTCGTGGGAGCTTGTTTGTGCAGCCATACCCTAAGGCATTTGAAAGTTTCAGCCTAGAACTGTTTGGCACCTTCTCATTTTTTGCTCCTGAATTTAATACAGTGACACTTATTAAAAATAACTATATTTACCTTCCTGCTCATATACTCTCCAAGGCTTGGATTTCTCAGCTTTAATTTCAGAAGTGTATTACGTAGCTTAAAGTTTAAATATCTCACTTGATTTTATGTAACAGCAAACATTATTTAACATAATAAAAATGATGTGTGCTATGTAAGCTTTCTTTTAATGACAAAGGAGATTTTTTTCCTTGAAGATGGTGTAATTCCAGGTTAATGTGCATTCAGAATCATACAGTGAATGGTTGCATGTCTAATTTAAGAGTAGCAAAGCATATATATTAATATATGCTGAAATAATTCTTGTTATAGAATATGTTACATCCCATGGATACATTTGAATGTCGCTTGCACCATTTCAGCAGAGGAAGGCTGATTTTGCCATGGCCTATAAAGAACTAATTGAATATTTGCTTCGTTTAATCCTATTAGGTAAGCTCTGAGCCATAAAAACATTTCAGGATTTATGTGAATGTCAGTGATGCTGATCTCTAATTACTTCTTACACTATGCAACACAGAACTAGCAGACCAGGATTTTGTAGCCCCGAAGAAGACTGTGGGAAATCTCCTTCCCCCACACAATAGCAATTTGACAGAGGCAAGGCGGTGCCAGTCAGATGTGTACTGACTGAAAACAAGCTGTTTTCTGTGTCCCCTGCTTGGAGGGATGAATGCTTAATGCCCTCCTGCTTAGCATTGATGGATTAAATAATGATGGTAAGGCTTGATGTTCAATGTTTTTCCTTGTTTATCTTTTGCACGTGCCCATGGCAATGGAAGAAGCTTTTCCCATTGACAATATTTGTGTTCATGCCCTTTCTTTCAAATTACCTAAAGCCCTAAGTCATTCCTCCTTCTCAAGACTGAAACCCTAAACTTGGGTTTGCTTGGGATCAGTTCCCAAGTTATAAAGCTTTGGGTGCTGTATCTCGGTCAGCTGTGTAAGGCTGTGACTTGTGACTCCCAGCTCCTGGCCACGTTTCAGGAAGAGCCTGTCCCAGAGGCAGGGAGACTTGAAGAAGTCAGTGAGCTAATCAAGACATATCTGGAAATGGAAGTGGAAGTGACACCTGCTTAATTTAGCTGCTTTTATCTAGGCATGTCAGCTGGATCAAGAGACAGGAAATGGCCCCATTCTGGTGGAAACTATCTCCCCAGCTGAACAAACAGAACTACAGCACTTGAAGGTGGCAGCCAGACCCACAGAACTTTAAAATGCCACTCCCTGTTTTTTTCAAAGGATTAGAAAAGAAGAAAGGAAATAGCAGGTTCACCAGTTACAGAGAGGGAAAGCCTTTTTCATGCTGAATCAGTGCTAAGGTTGCTCTCAGGGCACCAGAAAGGGGTTTGTGTACTGAGCCTTGGGACTGGAAACACCAATCTAGAAGCAGACCATAGGTCTTTTGGTCGCACTGATTGTTGTCTTAAATTATGACATGCTTATGTCACCATTTTTTTATTAAGCCACCGCATAAGGTGACAAAATGTCTAAGGTCAAATAAGGAGTGCACAGTGTTCAAGTTGATCTGCAGGCACTGCATCTTCTCTTGTCTTACACTATGGAAAGATATTCCACAGCACACAGGAAGGACAGATGAAGAGTGTTTAAAAAAAAAAAAAAAAGCAAACTCAAAACCAGCAAAGAGCACACACCAACTTTTAAAACCTGACAAATCTAGAACAAAAAAATGTATTGTGGATCATCTAGGAGACTTATATTACTCATACCTCCCTTACTTGGGGATCTATTACTTCCTCCCTAACACCTAACTCTTCTTTTTCCCCCAAATTGGCTACTTTGTCACTCCAGATATTACCTGCTCTTATCAGGGCAACAGTGAAGGAGGGATGTGCCTCTCCTTGCCACGCTGGGCATAAGAAGACTGTAAATAAACTACTTCCAGCTGAGCACCTACCACTGAAATGCTGCGTTGATGGAGTCAGTATCTTTACAATTCACCTGAAACTCTGAAGATATAGCTCTGCTAGCATAATTTTGAGCTCTCTAGCTGTCAGGTGGGGATAGGACCATAGCTCTGTGCTGCTTAGGATTCAAAGGAGGACTTCAAGATCTGCTTGAACAATATTAAATGATTTCACTACCAATCCAGGATAAAACCAACTTTTCCCATGCTGCCTGGGCAGGGAGCTGAATGCTGCAGACAAGACTCCAGCCCTAAATCTGAGGCTTTAACTCCTGTGCAGCCTGTGCATGCCTGTGAGGAGTTCTAGGGCCTCTCTCCACTCCCTGTGCAACACAGTGCATGGTACAAGAGCTTAGACCACAGTCACACAGATGCCATGAGTCACAGGAAGAGGAAACACCGTGGTCCTACCTGTTTGCCTCGTTTTCCAGGTCTTCCTATAGGTCCTCTGTGTCCTGGTACTCCAGACTGTCCCTTGGGGCCCATCTCCCCCTTGGTGGTTGCAGAGGGAAGGAAGAAGGAGTTAAGTACATGGTTTTACCTTCCTTGAGCAAAACAGCAGATGCACGTGGTTTTCATTCACATGATTCCTCTAGATAATGCTAGCAACGTTTCTTTCTTAGAAATCCAAAATTATAATAAAATATTTTAAAACAAACATAAAGTAAAAAGAAGCTCATACCATTTATCCACATTCCCCTGAAAAATCCTTTCCTAAGGAAGAGGCCACGTGAGATCAAAAACACACTTAGAGACTTGGAGGGGTCGAGGTTGGGAAAGCTCTCTGACCCCTTTGCAATGTCTTGCTTTGCTGTTAAGATGCATGTGTGATGAAAATATCTAGGGAAAGGAAGGTGAATTCACCACCTTCTAATCTCTCTAGAAACAACTATCAATTCCTTTTCTAATTTCAGAGACATGGTTTGATTATGTACTAAAATTATCCACCTTTAGGTTTTCCATAAGACAGCACCTGAATTTTGATTGTTTTTCAAGTACAGAATAATGATGACTTAAGAACCTGTCAGGGTTATCACTGCTATATACAGTAGTGCCATTTTGTTTTAGAGTATCAAGAAGGAAATATTTACTAGTTTCAAGTGAATAAAACCTTAGTAATTAGGGCAGTTAAATAGGAGAGAGATTATAACTAAAGAAATAATCTGGGGGAAAAAGAGAAACAGCACCAAAGAGCTAAATCTGAGTTTTCTCTTAAACTAAAAAGACTAAAGAATTTGATGAAGTCCAGGCAGTGCTGGTTTCTGAGTCAAACAAGAACTTCAATGTCTTATGCCATCCAGGAAGTCTCTGAATCCACGCATTGAGCCTGTCTCAGCATTTCACACAACTCCCCAAAACATCATGCCCACTTACTTTTTGTCCCAGCATTCCGGGGAAGCCTATTTCTCCCTACAAAGTCAAAGGATAAAAATAATCAGAAAATGTGTAGTGATCTTTGACAAAGCAGCACCTTCATTGGAAGGAAAAAAATAAGTGCCATGTGTGGCTATCAGTTAAAAACCTGACTCAGCACTGCAGGTAATGCAATAGGTGGAGATTTATAAGCAAAACTTTACTATAAAGCTCCTTGTATGGTGCCATTACTCTCTGTCTGATCCTCTGCTGCCAGTTTCTGCTTCTCTGGCAAAATCATCCTGATTGTTCTCTTGACTACAGGCAGCTCTGCTGCCTGGACAAGTCCCAAAGCCTGCCTGGGGATGGCATTTCTCCATTTACACCAAAAGTAGTTTATTTTTCCTTTCTTAGTCCAAAGAACTCCCAAGCCACGAATCTCTCCCCCTCTTCCTCTTCCAGTATTATCACATGACCAGCTGAAAGCATTTTGGGAAGCTGCTGTGGTTCTGGGCTGCACAGCCCAGGAGGGGCTGGGACGACCTCCAGGGGAATCCTCCTGTGACTCACCAACCCCTGGCACCGGGCTGGGGACACAGGGACATGGAGCTGCCTACTGCCCTCCCAGCAGATGGGACCCCTGCTTTCCCTCACCACTCCTGCCCTCCCTGGAAGATGCTTTCAGGATCCTTTCCTCCATGCCCCTCCTGTTTTTCCCTGCCAGAACACATTGATCCTCAGATGCACATTCACAGCCATCTGGAAAAGAGAATTACCGGGTCTCCTTTGACTCCTTTGTCGCCTCTGTCACCTCTGGATCCCTGAAGAGAGATAACAGTAGAACAACAGCCTAATTACTACCATTTCATGATGAAGCAAAAAATATTTTTCCTATACAATGCATTATTGAAGTCAACAGAATACAGTAATATCTTCAGAGTGAGGGATATGCTTCATTACTGATATCATAACAGAATTAATGTAGGAAAAGGGACTAATTCTCCCCAGATAATTACTTTAAATATATGCTTTCCTGGACATAATGTTTTCAAATTGAATTTTTTTTCCCAGTTGGCTTCTTTCCTCAGTTCAGGTCGCACTATAAGATCCTAGAGCACAAAGTGTCCCAGTGCCAAAGCATGTGTCACCTAACTAAACCAGACCAGCAATTAAGGATTGTTTTACCCATGCTGCAGATGGGGAACCTGTAGTGAGTTTCACCGTAGCAGCTTGTTCATGAGGATACAGGGTGTAAAACTCACTTCTTCAGCACCCAGCTCAAGTCACAAGACTGCTCCTTCTCAATACGAGTTTTCATTTCTCAGTGGGACTTTTAGACTTCATCAAAATTCAACCTCATTTCTACAGTTGCATTTTTTTTTAAATGTGTTTCCAAATGTTAAATTATACATTATGCTGTTGTCATACTGACCTTTTCTCCTCTAGTTCCAGGAAAACCCTAAAGGGAATGATAGATATTTTAATGCTTCTCGCTTTCAAGATCACCCAAGAAGCCGGACTTTCAAACTTTGAAGTGAAGAAAAAGAATGAAGCACAAATAATTAATTGCATCAACACATGAAGGCAAATGAATATTTACAGCTCCTAAAATTGCACTGAAACCGAATTGTGAAATGTGAATTAAATGCAAGACAGCTCAGCCCAAAAGCCATTATGAAAAAGCCAGGTAAAGCCAGCGGCTTTGATTATGCTTTGAAATTGAAACAAGCGAAATAAATTGTGACTGAATGTAAATAAAGCATTAGATAACACAATTAATAATCTAAAATAATTTTTTGTGTTTTGTGTGTTTGGTTGCTGTTTTTTCCCCTATGGAACCTACTTAAGTTACACTTAAGTAATCTAGTGCGATCATTAACATAAAACTGAGTTTCTCTTAAAGAAACATAGAATAAACAAAAGTGTTCAGCTTTTCTTTCCAATCTTCTATTTGAAGAAACTAATTATATAATTTATTTCAACTGCCAGTAATATACCTAGTTCTAGTAGGGGACCAAAATTATCTTCACAGTCTTATGAGGTGGGTGGAAAGCATTGCAGACAGGATTTAATGCTGCAGATATGCTTAAGAACTCCATTTTTCCAGTGGGACACAATTATATCTGAGCTTGCTTTTAAAATAAATTACAAACATTTATGCCAAAGCATTTTTATGAAAAGCCAAAAAACACAGCCAAGCTCAAACAGACAACATAACCTTGCTTGATGTAGAATATATTTTTTATCTGTATTAGACACATATATCTTGATAAATGCTTTCCAGAAAATTCATGAGGGAAGCAGCTGTCAGCAGAGCGTTAGAAACCAACGTCTGAAAATGCAGTTTGGTTAACAAACCTTGGAGCCCATTGGTCCTCTTGTACCTGGCAATCCCATCACACCCAATTCTCCCTTTTCACCCTAAAGGGTTCAATAAAGAGAGTTATTGAATGAGGCTCTCCAATGAGGTCATATTTGAATGTCTGACGGTTCACTGGTTCAGGTTTTATGTCAAATAGTTAAGCCTGACCTTGGTGTAGCGTTGTGGGCAGGGGTTTATATTGCAATTGTATTCTGCCTGAGCCCTCACATCTTATCTTCATCTTCTATTTGAATTTTCTTGCGTGGGTAACTTTTGCTTCAGTTTTCCCAGCTGTTTTTAAAGGACATGCAAGCAAAGCACCATCAGCAGTGCATCCTTTTCTGAGTGAAGGTGCATTGTCTCTACCCAGCATCACCTCCACTGAGCTGCAGAAAAGAAAGGCGTTTTGCTGCATGCCTCACAACTTGTGGGGGCATAGTGACTATTTTTGTTGTAGTTCTGAGGCACCATGTGCTGAACAGTCATTTGGAACCAGTAAATAATGAAAAAGTTTTACAACCACTTCTCTGGCTGCTGTCAACTAATTATATCTAATATGAAATAGAGAGTAGACCCCCAGACATGCAGCAGTGCTACCAGCAGGACATATTTGGCTCTTACTCCCCTTTAGCCTTCACTGTCCAAGAAATGGTGGGGATTTTCCCATTGGCTGCTGCCCCTGCAGAAGTTCAGACAAGACTTGAAGGAATGAAGTAAGAGAAATAGGGACTGAAGTTAGGCTGTGTCAAAGTAAGAGAAGACAAGAAGAACCAGCTGAGGAAATGACAAATATCCACAGAGGTGGATATGAGTTTAAAAACCTGAAACAGCAGCTTACTGGAGATTAACAGCAAGATGGGGATTCAGCAAATATCTGTGGTGAGGAAGAATATTGCAAGTTTGTGGAGATCAGAGATGGGGACAGAGAGGGACATGACCAAATGAAATAACTACAGAAATAACTACTATCTTCTGCACTGTATTCAACTGGAGCCTTCACTGACAGGCAGGAAAATGAAATTTATGAAGACGAGAAGAAATGAAACTGTGAACCTACCTAAAGAACAGAGGAGACCAGTATTAGAAGAGACTATAAAAGCAGAAGAATCATCATCAAACAGCAAGAAGGACTTGCAGTTAAAGTGTAGGAAAAAGTATTACTTCTGAATATGAGGAATGCTTCTAGGAGTATGATGAAAAAACACAGTAATAGACTAATTTGGACTAATAAGGCAAAGGAGATTAATCAAAATTAGGAAGACTACATAAATAAAATGAACGCCTATACAAGAAGAAGACTGAGTGTATATGAGCTTTCTGTCTGCTTTCCTCTCTTCCTTCACTAAGACTATGAAGGAAGGAGTTGATTGAACCTTTCCTCTGCCCTCTTTGCTCCTGCTGTGGGAAATCATAGCACACAATGTGCTTGTGGGGGCAACCATTTCCCATCTCACAGTTTAAAGTAACATTGATTTCTTTTAAGTACATACTCTCTTGCTGCTTGCTTACATTCCCACACACTATAATATGATGTTCTTCATTTAACATGGCTGGAAAGATCTTGAAAGTCTGCTTCCCAGATGTGGCTTAAATTCACAAGTCACCTCCTACTATTCTTGCAATATCAAGAGCTAATGCACCACATCCTCTGATGTGGGGGCATCAACCTTCATAGACAAAATGAAGAGTCAAAGATTTACAGAAAAAGCAGCTTCAAACTAGGCATTGTGTGCAGTCCATTAGCCTAATGCATCCTGGATTGAAGAAAAGCAAGTTGTCTCAAAAGTCCCTGTAGAAGCTCCATAAACCATAGCTCCTATGAAAAGCTGTTATACCTTTTGCACAAGCCAGTGCTTGCTAAAGGACTATCCTGAAGCTTTTTTTATAACAAATGCAGATGAAGCAGCCATTTTGCAGTAGCAAAGCACATCCTGTCATTTCTTCTGCTGTTGGTTAATAAAAATAACAGGAATTAATGTTTGTTTGTATGGGAATGAACTTCAAAGATGTGATTAGCCATTCTCATGGTTTGTCATCTCTTTCCCTTGATATCAGCCTGGTATTTTCCCTCTGATCATGAGCTCACAGTACATCTTCAGGCAAAGGGATCCTCATCAAGAATAATCATAATGATGGCAATCAGTTTAGAAACACTGATTTGTGTGATCGTGAGATATCAGTAAGGCTTCATTGTAATAATTTTCAGTTTCCCTTTGACATGTTTAATTCATGTAAGGAGTGCTGTAGGGTCTGGACTGAAGGTGGAGTAACCTAAGCCTAGACTCTGCAGAGCAGTGTAAGAAAGGGGACTAGCACAGGGTGTGCTTGCACAGCTGCAGCTTCCCAGCCTCCTGCAAGCAGCTGTTTAGAGATTTCCCAAGACAACTCTTCTATTCAGATTGTGATGTTGAGCAGTTTGTTCCATGTGAATTTTAGTCTTACCTTCTGTCCCATAGGTCCAGGCCATCCTACTGGTCCTGGCATCCCAGGGACGCCCGGGGGACCTGGTCTGCCCTTGAACGGAAAACATGGGTTACAATGGTTCATAAAAGCACCATTCCTACACAGGTCACTGCTGCAGACAGGGGATGAAAAGACCTACAAGTGTTTACTTATATCCATACAAATCCAATTTATGTTGAGAGCAGAACCAAATCTTTAACTAACTATTCCTGTTACTATGGTCCTTATTCTGAACATTCCTACATTGCTAGCTTAATTGCTCTTTATTAACTACTATATGACTACCAATAACTACATATGTACATACAGTTTTAATTGCTGCTTGTAAATCACTCTTTGAATATCTCCTAAAATGCTGCAGATCAGTGCTGTTCCACTGCATTACACTGCTTGACAATATGATCTCAGAAATATCATCATGACATTCAGGGCCAAGAGTGAACTCTCATGGGCCAGACAGCTTTTAACAAGAGTTGTACAGTTTTATTTCCAACCTGAGTGACTTCTCTTTCAGAACTTACTTGTATTTGTCAGAAGAGTGAGTGTTGATGTACCGTGTTTAAAGTTTAGCACTTTTTTGTAGGTTGGTGTATTATTCTCTCAAAGACATTGCTGTTTTGAACCCTTGAATTTATATTAATAATATTTTTGTTTACTGTAGGGCATTTGAAAATATATTAAAGAAAATTACCTCTTCTGTTTATGTTTTATATTTATTTGAATTACTGATTGGTAGCTGGTGTCAAAATCCTTGGTGTATTATTAGAAAGGTGTCAAAATCCTTGGTATATTATTAGAAGTGTACTTCTTTTCCTAGTTAGTGACCACCCCCTGCATATCTCTGATTTCATCCTGGATTTCTGACTTCTTTAAAGTTAATTACATTAAATGGATGTACTTAGTGACTGAGATAACATATTCTGTTTCATCACATGTAGGGGCACATATTTTTGACAATATATCACGGCTCATGTGTCCCCAAGCATAGGATTGTAGTCAGCATATTGCATTGGTGCCAGAGCTCTGGAAGGGTAATCATTAATGGTTGTTTCTCCTTCAGGGGTATCTGGCTGAGCCTTGTTTAGACTTTGGATGAGTAAAAAAGTTTGATTTTGCTTTGAGGTTTTTTTAGTAAATATTTTATAACTCCAGTAATCTGTTTCCCATTGTCCACACAAGCACTTCAGGTAATATCCCACTCGTTGGCTTCTCTCTGTGCTTTCACTCAGGGAATTTGTCAAATTCAAGCCAGCTGGGACAGCTCTCCAGCCCTGCAGCCAGAGATCCCTGCCATCCACTCTGGGTACCAGTGAGAGAAGCACTAATAGGCTAAACTTCAACATCAGCTAAATTTTATTGAAGTGTTGTCTGGATCCCTCTCTGGCAGCTACTATTAAATATTGTATGAGTTTCTGAGACAGCACCTTTATTCATACCTTTCTTCCAGGTCTGCCAATCTCCCCCTGCCAGAGAAAGGGATATGTCAGTCTTGCAGTCACCACATGAAGCACAGTGGCTCCCAAGTCAATGCATCAATGCATTTCTATTAAAAAAACAAACAAACAAACATGCAAACCCACAATCCCTTCCCCAAAAAAACAAACACCACCAAACAAAACACTGTGAATATCTTCATGTCAAAACTGTGCTTAGAAAGGTAAAATGAGAAGAATTACTGTATCAGAGCTCCTTGGTCTTTCCTGTGTTCTCAGCACTAAATCTACAGTCAACTCCTTGTATAACAAATCACACAATTAGCTGCTCAGCTTCAGCTATAAGGCTCTTTGGCATCATTATGGAACAAATCTTTGCACAACTGAAAACATAACATATAGGCCAGCTTTAATACCTGAGCTGTCCCATACAATTCGCACTGCATGGGAGAGCTCTGCTCCTCGTGTTCTCCAGGAGGGACAGGGAGCTCAAAGGCCTTTGGGTCAGTAAAATTGCTGAGTTTTGCCCCTGAGATGCTTTCCCAAAGCATACCCTAAACACAGGTCACAAAAGAAGAACATAGGTCACTTCAAGACTGAAAACGAACACAGAAAGACTAAGTTTAAAATTATAGCTTCAAGCTGATTCACAGCTTTGTGTTCAAATTAAAGCTAAATCTTCTATTCATAAGGCCCACCATTCGCCAAAGAGACAAAGAAAAAAAGTGAACATCCTCCCCTGCTTCTTTGCTCCTCAAAACCACATCAAACTCCATGAAAACAGACACTTACCTTCTCCCCTTTTGGTCCCATTATACCAGGAATTCCTTGTGGACCCTAGGGAGGAACATGGACACTATTATTAAACTGCATTAGTGAGGTGTCTGTGTTCCATCAGCCCTAGACCCTGTATGTGTCTCTTGGGACCTGAGGTATTGGGTGTTGTGTTTGAATGTGGCCTCCAAACACCAGGTCTGTGCCACTGCTGAACAGCAGGATGGAGATTTGGAATGACATGGGAATGGGAAGGGCAGGGGAATCTCATAAATGAGAAGAAACTGGAAGAAAAACAAGCCTAGGGCAAATGAGAGGTGAGAAGTTATCAGAGACCTGAAGAATCAGCAACCAGGACATGGAGACACCCCATCAGCTGGCAAAAGAGGTCAGCCCAAGGGGTGGTAATGGAAGTAGCATAAAACATGTGGGATGGGCTCTGCAGGATGGGATGGACATTGGGATTGCACCATTTCTGAATTCTGAAAATATTTCTCTCTGTCAAACAAGGCTGATTCTCCTTTCAGAAGACTTCTTGAGAGACCTTGAACACCTTTCTCTGAAAAAAAAATGCCAGATTTGTTTCTAGAAGGCTTTGGTTCATTGATCACCTTTTACTTTTAAATGACTAAGGAGAAGAATCCCATGAGCCTGCATCAGAGAAGCATTAGATTCACTGTAAAAATCACTCGCTCCAGGTTGGGATCCTGCCCATATTATACTGTTCAAAATGTGATCAAATTGTACATGAATAGGAGAAAAATCTATCCTCAGATACAAATTACTCCAACTACTTTAGTCAGTAGAGTTATTTTAGGTTTTCAGTAGTGAAAATCAATGCACCCTATTAGAGTCAGCACCAAATTTAATCTTATTTATTTCTTTTTACATTAGGATACACATGGGAGGAATTACACTAAAACTTATACCTTTACAAATCTAATTCTCCTTCTTATGAAAATTTATTAAAATTCAGCTATGAGTCAACAGTATGGGCTTTTGCAACTCATCTGAAAGCCCTGTAAGCCACAGAAGAATTCAGAAGTAATAACTAGATGTCTTTGTAATGGTAGTATTTCTTTGCAGGAGGCCATTGTCACAAAAGTATTTCCCAAAAGACTGCTGGTTCTAACATTTTCTCTGTACAAGGCACAGTCCTGTAATTTGTAATTAAAAATTCCAAAGCCATGTTATACCCATCCTGCTGTCTGCTGTTATGATAAAACCTGCCAGCTTGCTCTATTTAAAAATGTTCTTGGAGGCATCATAGGTCATTTGGTAGCAAGATTAATATTATTTATAGCAATGGACTTTGTAGAACAATAGAATTAAAATTACTTTCTTGCAATTTAAGTCAGAGAGAATATCAAGAGGATTGTTTTTTTTTTAAAGACAGCCTAGCAAAGACTGAAATAACAAGTGTTTTTTTCATGTGAACAGCAACTCTGGATCATGGCCAATCACACTGCTAGGCTGTTTCATAATGAAGAGAAGACTTCCCTCAAGACAGAACTAGGCAAACACTAGACATCACTCCTGACCACACTTTTCCACTCTCATGAACTAAATGAATCTTCTTCACCCTCTATCTCAGCAAAGACAAAATGGCAAAATAATAAAGACAAAGTTCATGGGGAGTTGGAACTAGATGATCTCTTCCAACCCAAACAATTCTATGATTCTACAAAAAGGCTTTGTGGGTTTCACCTTGAAACTTCTAGACTCTCCAATTATCTTCTGAAGTACTGACTTATAAATAATTAAAGCTAAGCTTTTTGCCACATAACTGAGTCTTTACTTTGATGTGTTGTCCCTACTTTTTAAATAGTGTTTGGGTGCTTGTTAGCTTCTCAGGCTGCCAAAGCCTCAGTCACGGCTTTGCTGAGCACAGGCCCTGAGCTGTGTCTTGGCAGTCAACTGACACCCAGGGGGCTTGAGGAAGATCACTGGCACCAGGCACAGCACACAGATTGGTTGCCTGTGCCCCAGCAGGAACTGGAAGTGCCTCTTCATGAAAACTCTCCATTTTCTTTGGAAGGAACTGGAATGGAAAAGCAAACGGATGATCCTCTCAACAATACAGAGATGTTCATAAAGAACTTCCTTCTAGAAGTGGTTCATCTCCTCCTCAGAAGAAGGCCAGGTTGGATGGGGCTCTGAGCAACATGGTATAGTTGTATTGCCTCTGTTCATTGTAGGGAGGTTGTACTTGTTGACCTTTAAAGGTCCCTTCCAACTCAAACTGTTACGTGACTCTAAGATCTCTGACCTTCCTCTGAAGATTTCTGAAAGAATAAATTGTAGAAAATGAGGTATGAGGTCAAAAAGACCAGTCTGAGGTTGTCCAGCAAGTCAGAGGCAGAAATGTTGAGGTCCAGCTAGGAGATCCTGCGCCTCCTGAATCACACCCCACTGCCCTGCTAAGCCCCTCCTTGCCCCTGATTTTACTGTAGATGTTTGCCTTCTCAGGGATGTACTCTGCTGACATCCCAGTCCATTTTATGCCTTGTGCATCCACTTCACAGGCTCTTGTCCTCACAAAAAAAGAGAACAGAGTCTAAAGCAAAGAAAAAACTGACAAGAAGCCTCTGAAGGAAGTGATGATGCATCTGTGATTTTTGATGGGTGCTACCCACTGTAAAACTCCACAAAAATGAAGGGTGAACTTGAAACAGAATGAAGTGTATAAGGCAGGGATGAGAACATAGGGTAAAAAGACTACATGATTTATGCAAAGTCATATCAAAATGAAATTTAGCCAGAGCTTGGCATGCTTATTGGGTGGTAAAAAGCGGTTTCATGAATTTCACAGCTTTGTAAGGACTTTGGAGCAAGTGAGAGAACGATGTGGTTTCATCACATATGCCTCACTCACCTGGGGGCCAGGAGGCCCTGCAGAGCAGTGCAATTCAGACAGAGAGGAAGCCTGTATTATCTGGAGCTCATGACACAACTCTTCCATATCCAGCTTCTATGAAACATCAAACATATGAGTGAACATGCAGCCACATGTAGCCTGTTGGAGAAATGCCTAAAATTCCAGCCACCATACAGCACAGCCTCAAAAGAGTTTATTTGGTCCCTTTGGGAGAAGTCTGGGGCTTGTCACAAGGTTATCTTCATGGATGCTTGAACATTAGCACCTCCATAGCCTCCTGCCCCATGCTTCCTTCTCCTCCCTCTCTACCTCCTCTTCCTCTCACAGAGGCACATCACAGCTGGGCTGCCCCGGGCCTATTCTTAGACCTGACCCTGCCCTCTCTGTCCCACTTTGCCAGCAGCAGCTCCACTCCAGGAATAGCATCTTTGCTCTAAAAATAGAGACTTCATGCAGGGAAGGCACAGGCAGCGTGAACTTCGCTCCAGAAGGTACCAACCTGGAGGCATTCATTCACTGCAGATCAGAGCCAGTGCCTTAAATGATCAATGAATGTCTGATCTTCTGACTTCAGCATTAAGCTTTCACCAGTGCAATGCCTTATTTATGTCCTGTTACAAAAGTGATCTCCCCTGGAAACACAGATGAGCACTGAGCCAGAAACACTGGACCGAAACAACTGGTCTTCAGCCTCCAAGAAAAAGGCCATTTTCCAGTAAAGCTCTGACTACAGGCTCCAAAGAACAAACTGCTCATGGTTTAATTCACATGGCTCCCACCCTGCGTGTAACTGCTTATTTTCATATCATGTTTCTACAGGGAGATGGTGTGAAGGGTGATTTTTGGCTCAGATTACTCTCTAAGCTGTTTGAAGGAATCTCAGGGACCCTGGTTCCAGTCTCATTCTTACTGAAGGAGTACACAACATTCCTAAAGAGATCCTGTCTGTGGATCTCCTTTCCGTGGAAATCAAGGCACAGGCAGGAGAGGTGACAAGGAAGGCAAAGTTCTGGAGAGAACAGCACCCTGAGTTCAATCCTGATCAATCAGAAGGCGGTAGAGGATTTCACACCATACTTCTTCTTGGGTTACTTCTTGCCTGATATCTTACTAATCATTATTTACTATTATTAAGATTTATATTATTTACCATTTATATTATTTATATTATTATTTGTTTACGTTATTATTTACATTTATTATTACATTGTTTATATTATTTATATTATTTACATTATTTACTATTTAATCATCACTTATTTAGAACACTAGCAATAATTGCAGTGTTTGTATATGGTAAATGAATACTAAAATTAAGGAACAGGAATTACTGAGTAGGTAGAAAAATTCTTTATGCTGGGATAGAGGATATGTTGTAGTTAGCAGTACCAGCAGTAAGAGTACTTGGGCAAATTGCTATGTCATATTCCCATTGTAGGCTGTACATGCTTATGTCAGCATATGTGTATGGACATTTATCACACATGGAGTGAAAACTGATACCAGCATCTCAAACACATATGTGTTTCTGCAAAATGAAATGGTGGGGGTAGGCTCCACAGGAGGATTCCAGGACCTTCATTTCACCTGCTAGGTAAGGCAAATGTGATGCAGAATAGGACATATACATATATACATATACGCAGAAATCATTGTGCAGGATGGAAAATTGCCTTTCTGTCCTTACTGGTGTACTGCATTGCCATTTCCTCTGCTTCAGGATTGCCTCACTCTAAGAAGGTTTCAATAGAGAGTAAGGAAAAGATTTAAAGTTAATTGAATTAACTGCAGGAACAAATCCAGCCTCATTTCATTCCTTGATCCATTTGATATTTACTTCAAGCCCCAGTCTGGGATGCTGTGTGATTGTCCTCACAGAGCCCTATCAGCACAGCCAGGCAGGTTTGCTGAGTGACACCATGAAGCAGTGCTCGAGAGGATGCTTCGTTCTTTGTCATTCAAACTCATGTAAAAGAAGTAAAAGCCACACTTACAGTGCTCCAGCTGTGCCTGAAGTATGGAGGTGGGAACAGGGGCGGTGGAGGAGGGCCAAGGAGGCAGCACGCCCTGCAGTGCTCCTTCTTCTGTTCCAAACAAGGGAGATCTGTTCAATACAAACACTCATCTGTGGTCTTGAGCAGCACAATAATTTCTTACAGAATAAGAGAAGTTGCCATTTCAGTGTTGTCCTACATCCTGTATGCATTGGTTACAATGCTGTAATCCAAACAGGGATTTAAGAAACCTGGTGGACCCTTAAGTCTCTAAGTTCCAAAGGCTATGGAGAGTTCTAAGCTCTAAATGTGGCTCTGGCACAGGCAGAATATTGAAAATTCCAGATTGGTCACACTAGAAAATGAATCAAGCATTTATTGTTTTCTCTACCCTCTGTTCCAAAAGGCTGTTCCAAATAGCATCTTCTGGTCCCTGTTACAGCCCACTTGCCACCAGGAAAGCACTCAGTGTTGCTGGCCATCACCTTCCCTGGGAACTGAATCACTTTAGGCACTTCTGCGCTAAGTGGGAAGCGCAAAGCTGTTCCACAACACATTGACTTGTATTTCCTCTGGAACTGCAACCAGGTTGCTGTATTTCTGATTTGTGCATCATCCCTAAGAATAAATACCCCACAACCCAAACTTAGCTGACAGCTTTGTCACAGACTGACTGGTAAGGCAGTACCTCACCTGTGTTTGGCAGTGTATTTAGCATTGTCTGAGAGGTAAACTTCCATCAAAATATAAGAGGCTGTGACCAAAATTCACAAAGGAAGTTGCATTATGGTGCATTTATACACTGCATTTTTTCCCCTGAATCTAATTTACTTCTTGGGAAATACATCTCTGATCAGAGTGAGAGCTTTCTTCAAAGGTTTTTGCAAGGATAGCAAATATTTATTTATGCCTGTTGGTTTCTTCCTCTGGCTAGTGGCAGCTGGAGTGGGTGTCTGTGAATTGAAGGGTGGCAGGGAGCCAAGAAGAAAAGCCTATGGTGAAGTATCTGGTATTAATAGAAAATCTCTAAATTAAGTTTCTGGGAAGACAAACCTGATGGAATTGCTAGATTTGAGTGCAAATCAATTGCAGGCTGGATATTAGTCACATCTCAAGGTAAGGGAAGAACAGAGCTACTTCTAGATTTTCAAATGTCTCAGAAAAGGTATTACTCAGTTCTTTCCCATGTTAATGGGGGTGACATTTTCTCAGTCCTGATGCACAGAAAGGAGCTGCCAAGAGGAGAGATTCAGCAGCATTCTGGGGTAGTTCATGTCATCCAGATTTTTTTCTCTATTAAAACACTATTTGTGATCATATCTTTGAGACCGAAGTCAATTGAATTCTGGAAGGGTCCATAATGAAGACTCTCAGTTTTTCCTCACAAGTTTGAAACTCAGTCAAAAACTTCAATTTAAGAGAAAGGCAGAAGATTTATATTAAAAAAAATAGGTATATTTTTTCAATTTAAAGCTTTAAATAGGTACTGAAATTCCAGTGTCCTTTAAAAAGTAACAGAAGTGTGAGTCACCTGTCTCCAGCACTTACATATAATAAAATACCAAGATATGAAGAACTGAGTTTTGTATTGGCTTAACCTCAATTAAGTCACTGTTATGCAGCTATAAACAATTTTTTCAATTTTTAACAGACAACTTCTGTGGTTGTCTGTGTTTCAGGATTGAATTTGAACATATTGCATTGGGACAAAATAGTGCAGTATTGAGGTAATGGACAGCTTGTAATTTAACAGGGTATAAAATGTGATTACTTTATTTTAGGCCACATTCCAATATAATCTTTCTCAGTATCACCACATTTCATGGTCTAGTTAAAATTTCAGTAGGATTATTATCATTCAGCGAGAATAAGAATATCAAAACTAGCCTGATGTGGCTTAGGTGCTAAGAGATCTCTACCAGCAACTCTTTTTCTGCAGGAAAAAGGTTTACACTACTGCAGTTGTACTGATACTAAAAAAAAAAAAAAAAAAAAAAAAAAAAAAAAGTTGTTCTTTAAATATTTTGCAAATAAAAGATTAAATAGAGATGTACAGCTATAGTTCTAATATGATACTTATCACACCCTCATGAGTAAACTCCAGTCCTGGATTATAAAAAAATATGTATTCTCCTTTTTAGAAGAAAAGCCTGAAAATCTGTGGAACAGCTTTATTATGAAAAACACTATACCTAAGTGAGATGGTAAAAAAACCCACCTGATTTCAGTCTTTATGCTACTGTAACACAAGTTATGTTGAAGCCCACTCAGGGTTTGCTGGTATGAGCAGTGACAGCATGTACTGATCTCAATGAGGAGACAAGCAAAATCTGACTACCATAACAGTAATAGATACTATTACTATATATATTATTAGACACTATTACTAATAGATGCTATTCCTATAGATAGATACTAAATTCTAATAGACACTATTATTATATACCAAGTAATTATATACCATTAATAGTAAAGGTATTGCTACACAGGACAGGTATCAATTATGTAATTACTTGGGTAGTTAATCTTTCAGGGGCTCCATCAGTAACCCTGGCTATGCTCTGAAAGGTGCATTTGTCAAGAAAATATTTAAGAAAATAGTGATTCTAGACCCAAGAACCTTCCCCACACAGGTATGACAGGTGATGTGACAGCAGAAGGAGCAAAAAAAACAATGATTCACAAAGGGACTGCAGGTAGGACTGCTTTAATCTGATCTTCCAGTAAGCACCACATTTCTTTGGTATGGGTTTTGGCAGTAACTGCAATAGGTCCAAGATGTACAACTATTACAGTATTGCCTTGATTTATATCACAAAAGGGTTACCTTGGCGGGCTTACAGGCTCTTTGCAAATGCAATGCGTATTTTTAGGCTCCAGGTTAGCTTTGTTTGCTAAACACAGCTTCAGAATACTCCAGTCCCCATCAGTGGAAAAAATCTCAGCCCAAGAATAGGACTGTCATAGTTTTCTGTGAAATATGAAGAGCCTGCCTACACAGAGCATGCGTTTAAATATCTCATACAGAGGCTGCTCTTTCAACAACTCTAATGCCAAAGAACACATTCAATAAGAAAAAAATACAAAATCCTTTTAGGACTTGTCCAAGAGGCAGTTGTTTTCAAAGAACATAAAAATTAAAATAATCACCATTGAAACAGAATACATTTGCATTCTCAGGTTATTTTTATGGGCAGGGCTATGAGTTAATCCAGTTCCAGAAAGTGATTTCATAAATCTATGGGTATACTGTCAATGGTAGCTTCAGAAATAAGCTAAGTACTTTAGATAAGGTGTGATGTTTCATTTTTCTGCTGCAGATTTCCTGGGATTTGGGAACTCTTATTCAAGATGGTACAACACAGAGCCAGAGAGAAGCCTTCACCCAGGCTGAGTCCCCTGGAGTGAGGTCTGTGAGGCCTCCTAGGGCAGATCCTGGAGGAGTCTTCAACCCCACAGGTGCAACAGAAATACCAAAGATATTCTGCTGGATTCAAGCCAGATTTGCAAGATTTCACTGAAAAAAAAAATCATAAATAAACCATGAAAGTACCTTTCATCCTAAAATCACAAAGCTGTAAGCTGAACACCAGGAGGAAAGGACAAGAAAGGAAAAGGATACTTAACATGTGTTTCCCTTCCTATTTATGACCACACTGATCCAGCAAGCCCTGATGGGAAGCCGAGCTATTACCCAAAGTCTCACCCTGACAGCAGGGCTGGTGGCTTGCCCAGCTTGTGACAGGCAGGGCTCTGCTGGACGGAGCCCTCTGACGGCTGACACCCATCACAGATGCTTCTCCCACACGCATGGCACTCAGAATTAATAATAAACCAGCTGGGCAGACCAGCCAGTTAATGAATGTGGGCTTGTCCAGCTGAAACCGAGCCTTTCATCTGCTTTGTTGTCATTCATTCAGGCTCCTCTCAGCCTCCTTGCAAGGAGAGCAGAGCACCACAGGCTGCAGCCACCCAGCTCCACTCTGGTCATCTACTGCAAGCAACTAGGGCACATTCTCCAGAGTTAGGAAAGTTTAAGAGCTTGTTAAAGCTGCCTTTGTTTACAGAGCAGAAGCAGATATTAAGTTCTCCTTCAAAATGCCAGAGAGAAGTGCCCAAAGATAATGCCCATCATTATCAATGTATGCTTCTCTAAAGTGTGTTTTATGAAACTTTTTGACCCAAAGTGTGCTTTAAGGGCATATAAGCAGAGATGAGAATACAGCTTGTGTTTGGAGCTGGGTTGAACAGTCAACTTAGTGTATTGTCTGCATCTCTTAGTACATTTGTGAACTTGAACCTTATAGTTGATGGCTGCAATATATCCTTTCCTATAAACCACATTAAATATGCCAAAGAAATATATCAAGCTTAGGTAATGATGTCTGTGTGGAGGAGGTGGTGACCCATGAAATTCCCATGGGAATTACAAAATGAGACACAGAGATACAGCTCTGCCCTGCTACTAGTTTCCTTTTGCTTTAGATGAGCTTCAGACTCCTAAAGAAACAGAACAACACAGATCAGAAATTATTTCAATTAATTGGAGAAAATTAAGAAATCCCAATGAAACCTTGCAAGTTTCTTTTAATAGAATCCTAGCATTCTTTAGGCTGAAAAAGACTACTAAGTTCTAAATGTTAATCTAGCACAGTCAAGAAAAATCTCAAAAAAATTTGAAAGTGCTCCATTTTTAATCTCTGAAGAACCACAGGCTGTGGCAGCAGTACTTTGCCAGCAGATGCACACTCAAAAACTGTCATAAATATATAAATAAAATAAAAAAAAAAAATTTAAAAATCAGTCTGTGTTCCCAAAGCTTGACAATAGCATAATCCCTGGCACTCTGCCTGACAGCAGGTCTGGATATTCACCTGGCCACAGGAGCAAGGACACTCTGTTCTCCATCCCCACCTAACATTTAGCCCACATCCCTCAGCAGGTCTGGCAGCCTGGTTGGGGAGAGAGGGGTGGCTGCATCTCTGAGGTCAACCCTAAAAACCACAGCAGACATGGTAAGATGTAGGAGAGCAAAGGGGCCTGTGGGTTTTTTTAGCAAAGGAAAGGTCTTTTACTCCCTGTATGTAACATTTTGGACATTTTATCTGTG